CCCGGAGCCACAGGCGGCCGGCGTCGAGGAGGAGCTCGCCCATCTTGTTGATTTCTTTGTATCTTTTCACAACAAAACCGAAAACCCAAGCCCCCAGTACAGAAGTTAGCTCTCTCCCTACCCCTTAAACGTACCCGATGAGTTATTTTTTACAACTTTGGATCACAGAACGTTCAAGCATAACAAAAGCTTCAAAGAGTTGTACAGTGAACACTTTACCGTTAACTTTACCATTTGAACTTTTTCTCGCAAGTTTTTTGTTTTATTTAGGTTTTATCATATCTTTGCAGCATACAAAAGGAAAATATTTAAACTTTTTAGCAGAATTTCTCTATCCCTTTTCGTGCTACATCTCTGCTCACTTTTTTTTTTTAAACACATTTGCAAGTACAAGGATACCTGAAGTTAGTGGAAAAAGGAATACAAATTTATTTTGGTGCCCTCCCCAAATTAAATCCACGCATAATATGCATTCTTCATAAACTTTAAAAAAGAGAATTAATTTGAGACCAGCAGTTAGCGTAATGGCTATGTCGCTGGACTCCCACGTAGTCGCCCACGGTTCGCGTCCGGACCCGGTGGCTTAAATTCACACCGGACGCATGTGCATGCATGTCCAAAATCCCCAGAGGAGAATGGAGGAGAAGGGATTGCGGTGTAGCCATCCCCCCTGGGGAGTGATTTCTCGCTTTCTATCTCTCTGTCTCTCCCTCTCTCTCTGGCGAGCGCATGCGCCCTATAGCAAAAACCTCTTAAAAAAAGAGAATTATTTTAAATTTATTCATTTATTTTTGGGGAGGTTTTTGCTATATTCTCCTCCATTCTCCTCTGGGGATTTTGGACATGCATGCACATGCGTCCGGTGTGAATTTAAGCCACCGGGTCCAGGACTTGAACTGCGGTCAACTACATGGGAGTTCAGCGACATAGTGATTACGCTAACTGCTTGGTCCCTCATTTATTTTTAATTGGACCAGAGAGGGACAGAGAAAGAGAGAAGGGAAAGTGAGAAGGCAAGCCATCAGGTCTGGGACTCAAACCATGGTGGGCCATGTGGGAATCCAGAGCCCTTAACCACCCTGTCACCTGCCTGCCCTTCATAAACTTTTTGAAGACCCTTTGTAAGCATTACTGCATTGTTTTTATTTTTAAAAAGATCTCCAAGGACCACCCAGAGCTCCTGAGCAGAGGAAGCCTGATCCCACATGGCTGACCAGGGTTTGTGCACTGGCACTTGAAAAAACTGGGTGGGGACAGCTGTGAATCTAGGGAGAACTGGAGGAAAAGGTATTGAAGTATTGGTGCACGATCAGGCTCCTTTATGGGGTTAACTTCTGTCTCTTTCACATGCCTCTGGCATTTAAAAAAGCAAAAACCCTTCAAGTTTGGCACAGTGGTGCACCTGTTGTCCAGCTACTTTGAAGGCTGAGGCAGGAAGACCAGGAGTTCAAGGTTGATCTGGGCAACACGCTCTAAAACGAAAAAGAAACAAAAACTGGGCCATTCTACACATAATGATGTAATATAAATCCTTAAGGGACTGGAATTGTGTTCCGCACACTGCAAGTGTTTCCATATGGGATCTTCCAAAGAATGAGGGACCAGCAGTTGGCGTAATGGCTATGTCGCTGGACTCCCATGTAGTTGACTGCGGTTCAAGTCCCAGACCTAGTGGCTTAAACTCATGCCAGGCACTTGTGTGTGCATGTCCAAGATCCCGAGAGGAGAATGGAAGAGAAGGGATTGCAGCGTGGCCATCCCCCCGGGGGGTAATTTCTCGCTTTCTGTCTCTCTGGTGAGCACACGCACCTGATAGCAAAAACCTCTTCAAAACAAACAAACAAACAAAAAACAATGCTGTAATTGTACCTATTTTACAGACAAAGCAGGGATTAGGAAATAGGTAGTAAGTCATTTTGGGAAGTTAATAGGCTTTCTCACATGTAGACAGCTTATATTTCTTTAACCACTATATTTCTTTTTTTTTTGAGAGGTTTTCGCTATAGGGCGCGTGCGCTCGCCAGACAGACGGAGACATAGAGACAGAAAGTGAGAAATCACCTCCCAGGGAGGATGGTCACGCCGCAATCCCTTCTCCATTCTCCTCTCGGGATCTTGGGCACGCATGCACACGCGCCCGGCGTGAGTTTTAAGCCACAGGGTCTGGGACGCAAACCGCAGTCGACTACGTGGGAGTCCAGCAACATAGCCATTACGCTAACTGCTGGTTCCCAACCACTCTATTTCTTATATTGTAATTTGTTTGTATCAAACTCTACGGGAATCCTTGCTTTCACAGATTCCCTGGCTACAGTTAGCACTGGTCAGTATCTCTAGTCCTCCCTCACCTCACTCAAATAGTTTGGAGGCCCTGATTAAATTTGAGTAGTTGAGGGGCCAGCAGATGCCATAGCAGTTACGTGGTTGGATTCTCACATAGCTGATCTGGTTTGAGTCCCGGCCCTGTGACTTGAAACTCACGCTGGGCATGTGTGCATGCGTGCCCAAGATCCCAAGAGGAAAATGGAGGAGAAAGGATTGTGGCATGGCCATACCTCCTAGGGGGTGATTTCTCACTGTCTCTGTCTTTTTCTTTCTGACCAGCACATGCACCCTAAGGCAAAAACCTCTTTAAAAATTTTTGGGGCCAGCAAATGGTGTGGTTAAGGGATGATTTCTCATTTTCTGTCTCTGTCTCTCCAGCAAGCATATGTGCCCTATAGCAAAAATCTCTCAAAGGACTAGCAGAAGGTGTCATGGTTATATTGTTGGATTCCCACATAGTTGACCATGGTTTGAGTCCTGGACCCGGAGGTTAAAACTCATGCTGAGCAGGTGTGCTTGCATGTCCAAGATCCCAAGAGGAGAAAGAAGGAAAAGGGACTGCAGTGTGGCCATCCTCCCTGGGGGGTGATTTCTCACTTTCTGTCTCTGTGTTGTGAGTGCACTGCACCCATAACAAAAATCTCTAACAAAAAAGTCTTAGATACATGTATCCTTCTTTTATTCTTTCTGCTTGCTTGTGCACAAAGACATTACAAAATCAAACAGAACTGTGTATTTATTTATTATACATGTGCCAGAGGGTGCATGTGCTTGCCAGAGAAAGACAAAGCATTTCCCAGTGAGGGCTAGCCACGCCACGATCCCTTCTGTTGGAATTCTGGGTATGTACACACATATGCCTGGAGCATTTCTCATACCACTTGGGGCTGGAATTCAAACCTCCCAGCTGCCCAGGTAAAGCCAGGCTCCCTTACCTATGAACCTAGTCTAGAACTTATGTATTTTATTTTATTTTATTTATTTATTTATTTATTTTCTGGAGAGGTTTTCACTATAGGGCGCGTACGCTCGCCAGACAGACAGAGAGAAACATAGAGACAGAAAGCGAGAAACCACCCCCTGGGGGGGATGGCCATGCTGCAATCCCTTCTCCTCCATTCTCCTCTCAGGATCTTGTGCACACACGCACATGTGCCCGGCGTGAGTTTTAAGCCACCAGGTCCGGGACGTGAACCACGGTCGACTACGTGGGAGTCTAGTGACATAGCCATTATGCTAACTGCTGGTCCCAATAGAACTTATGTATTTTAGTTTTAAAAACTTTTTTTTAAAGTTATTTTATTTGACTTTATTTATTTTGATTTGACTAGAGAGGGACACAGTGAGAGAGAGGGAAAGTGAGAAAGCCAGATGCCAGGTTCAGGACTTGAACTACAGTTGGCCATGTGGGAGTCCAGCACCCCTTACGGCCATGCCACCTGCTGGCACCCAGAATCTATGTATTTTAATTAATTAATTAATTTAGGAGAGATTTTTGCTATAGAATGCGTGTGCTCGCCAGAAAGACAGAGAGAGACAGAGAGACAGAAAGCAAGAAATCATCCCCCAGGGGGGGACAGCGACTCAGCAATCCCTTCTCGTCCATTCTCCTCTCAGGGTCTTGGGCACGTCTGCACAAGTGCCTGGCGTCAGTTTAAGCCACCGGGTCCGGGACTTGAACCACAGTTGACTACAACAACGTAGCCATTACGCCATCTGCTGGTCCCAATAATCTATGTATTTTAAATAACCTCATCCATTCCTCTTACCCTCAGCTTTCAAGCCTCCAAGTCAGATCGTGGTCGACCACATAGGAGTCCAGTACCTTAACCACTACACCACCTGCTGTCCCCAGAGGTGGCGTGTTTTATTTGGAGGGTAACTACTAGTCAGCTCTAGCTGATTACTTTCTTCCAAAAGTGAAGTCCCACTGTGGGTGGGTCCAATTCCTATCCTATCTTCCGTTTTCTAAAGAGAAACATGAACTCTTAATTTTTTCTCTTATGCAAAATATTCTCCTTCCTCCTCCT